CATGTGCTTATGTCATACCATATACACTAGGTTACGACACGATGCGAATTTCCTTATAACCGTTACTAGGTTACTTCATGTGCCTATGTCATAAACATATGCCTTAGGTTACGTCAAAGTGCTCATTTCATCATTGTCTAGGCTTGTCTTTGAGAACGCCTAATGCCTATCTCATCACCTTATTTAATGGTTCTCTTTACTTTGTGAACGCCTAATGCCTATCTCATCACCTTATTTAATGGTTGTCTTTACTTTGTGAACGCCTAATGCCTATCTCATCACCTTATTTAATGGTTGTCTTTACTTTGTGAACGCCTAATGCCTATCTCATCACCTTATTTAATGGTTGTCTTTACTTTGTTAACGCCCTGTGCCTATCTCATTACCTTATTTAATGGTTGTCTTTACTTTGTGAACGCCTAATGCCTATCTCATCACCTTATTTAAGGGTTGTCTTTACTTTGTGAACGCCTAATGCCTATCTCATCACCTTATTTAATGGTTGTCTTTACTTTGTGAACACCTAATGCCTATCTCATCACCTTATTTAATGGTTGTCTTTACTTTGTGAACACCTAATGCCTATCTCATCACCTTATTTAATGGTTGTCTTTACTTTGTTAACGCCTAATGCCTATCTCATCACCTTATTTAATGGTTGTCTTTACTTTGTGAACACCTAATGCCTATCTCATCACCTTATGTAATGGTTGTCTTTACTTTGTGAACGCTCTGTGCCTATCTCATCACCTTATTTAATGGTTGTCTTTACTTTGTGAACGCTCTGTGTCTATCTCATCACCTTATTTAATGGTTGTCTTTACTTTGTGAACGCCTAATGCCTATCTCATCACCTTATTTAATGGTTTAATGGTTCTCATCTTATTTAATTTGTCTTTACTTTGTGAACGCCTAATGCCTATCTCATCACCTTATTTAAGGGTTGTCTTTACTTTGTGAACGCCTAATGCCTATCTCATCACCTTATTTAATGGTTGTCTTTACTTTGTTAAAGCCCTATGCCTATCACATCACCTTATTTAATGGAAGTCTTTACTTTGTGAACGCCTAATGCCTATCTCATCACCTTATTTAATGGTTGTCTTTACTTTGTGAACGCCTAATGCCTATCTCATCACCTTATGTAATGGTTGTCTTTACTTTGTGAACACCTAATGCCTATCTCATCACCTTATTTAATGGTTGTCTTTACTTTGTTAACACCTAATGCCTATCTCATCACCTTATTTAATGGTTGTCTTTACTTTGTTAACGCCTAATGCCTATCTCATCACCTTATTTAATGGTTGTCTTTACTTTGTGAACGCCTAATGCCTATCTCATCACCTTATTTAATGGTTGTCTTTACTTTGTTAACGCCTAATGCCTATCTCATCACCTATTTAATGGTTGTCTTTACTTTGTGAACGCCTAATGCCTATCTCATCATCTTATTTAATGGTTGTCTTTACTTTGTGAACGCCTAATGCCTATCTCATCACCTTATGTAATGGTTGTCTTTACTTTGTGAACACCTAATGCCTATCTCATCACCTTATTTAATGGTTGTCTTTACTTTGTTAAAGCCCTATGCCTATCTCATCACCTTATTTAAGGGTTGTCTTTACTTTGTGAACGCCTAATGCCTATCCCATCACCTTATTTAATGGTTGTCTTTACTTTATGAATGCCCTGTGCCTATCTCATCACCTTATTTAATGGTTGTCTTTACTTTGTGAACGCCTAACGCCTATCTCATCACCTTATTTAATGGTTGTCTTTACTTTGTGAACGCCCTGTGCCTATCTCATCACCTTATTTAATGGTTGTCTTTACTTTGTTAAAGCCCTATGTATATCTCATCACCTTATTTAATGGTAGTCTTTACTTCGTTAACGCCCTGTGCCTTTCTCATCACCTTCTTTAATGGTTGTCTTTACTTTGTGAACACCTAATGCCTATCTCATCACCTTATTTAATGGTTGTCTTAATTTGTGAACACCTAATGCCTATCTCATCACCTTATTTCATCACTGTCTTTACTTTGTTAAAGCGCTGTGCCATCTCGTCACCGTAAATACATTACATCACTGTCAATAGCTCACGCCATCTCCTTATCATATGTACGAGGTAACGCCATGGCGTTGCGTCACTTAAGTCAGCTGGAAACCTATGATTGTGGGTTCGAATCCCGTTTCTCCGTGATTATATTTCTAGGTTTGTCGGCACCATACGGTTAAAACTGGGTTAATCTGACACACCGGGTGTAACTGGGTTAATCTGATACACCGGATTTAACTCGGTTAATCTGACACCGGGTATAACTGGGCTAATATGACACAACGGTTAAAACTGGGTTAATCTGACACACCGGGTAAAACTGGGTTAATCTGTCACACAGGGTGTAACTGGGCTAATCTGACACACCGGGTAAAACTGGGTTAATCTGTCACACCGGGTGTAACTGGGCTAATCTGACACACCGGGTGTAACTGGGCTAATCTGACACACCGGGTGTAACTGGGCTAATCTGACACACCGGGTGTAACGGTAAATACAGGTACCCCAAACTCACTCTCTCGCTGTTTCTCGCCACGATGTACATTGTTACGTCATGGCTGTTATACACTTACTCACGTCATGATTTTCTGTAGAAAAAGTATTGTGTTCTTCTAGGCGGTGCAGGTATAAACTGCCTGTTTAGATAGTGGACACTGGGGAATGGCCTCCATCATGTGATGCTCGGGTGTCCATCCGCCTACGCTGACCAGGGATGCCACTTGGGTTATGTGTTCAACCAATTTGGATATTACAGCTTATCATGTTACAGATACCACTGGTTTTACGTGAGGTCATTTCTAGAAATAACGCCCCAATAGCCATTACCCTAAGCTCCGTGTGGATTGGATCTACTGATTGTCAGTATACATTTCATTTCACATTCCAGTGTATACATCAAGTAAACAATAAATCTTGATAAATAACAACAACAATAAATACAAAAACAACCAAATAAACAGAAGCAACAAAACAAAACAAATCCATTTGAAACCACAGAAACAACAACTACTACCCAAACAAACAACAATTACTTCGGAAGAACTTGTTTTCGTAACATGATCACCAATTTAAAAAAGGACTAGTAACATGCCGTATTCATGTATTTCTTTTATCAATATTCACGCACTAAAGCTGTCCCACTAAGTGTTCACCAGACACACTACTGCAACTTGGGCCTGGTGTGAAGTCACCACGTCACGGAGTAACGATGGGCACTGGTAGGTACAGTGACTCTTGGTCAACTGAGGACCATAGTGTACAAAGCTCGGGTGTACATTCCTCACATTGTGGTGTACAAAGCTCGGGTGTACATTCCTCACATTGTGGTGTACCAAACTCGGGTGTACATTCATCACGTTGTGGTGTTCCAAACTCGGGTATACCTTCATCACGTTGTGGTGTTCCAAACTCGGGTATACCTTCATCACGTTGTGGTGTTCCAAACTCGGGTATACCTTCATCACGTTGTGGTGTACCAAGCACGGGTATACCTTCATCACGTTGTGGTGTTCCAAACTCGGGTATACCTTCATCACGTTGTAGTGTACCAAGCACGGGTATACCTTCATCACGTTGTGGTGTTCCAAACTCGGGTATACCTTCATCACGTTGTGGTGTACCAAGCACGGGTATACCTTCATCACGTTGTAGTGTACCAAGCACGGGTATACCTTCATCACGTTGTAGTGTACCAAGCACGGGTATACCTTCATCACGTTGTAGTGTACCAAGCACGGGTATACCTTCATCACGTTGTGGTGTTCCAAACTCGGGTATACCTTCATCACGTTGTGGTGTACCAAGCACGGGTATACCTTCATCACGTTGTAGTGTACCAAGCACGGGTATACCTTCATCACGTTGTAGTGTACCAAGCACGGGTATACCTTCATCACGTTGTGGTGTACCAAGCACGGGTATACCTTCATCACGTTGTGGTGTACCAAGCACGGGTATACCTTCATCACGTTGTGGTGTACCAAGCACGGGTATACCTTCATCACGTTGTGGTGTTCCAAACTCGGGTATACCTTCATCACGTTGTGGTGTACCAAGCACGGGTATACCTTCATCACGTTGTAGTGTACCAAGCACGGGTATACCTTCATCACGTTGTAGTGTACCAAGCACGGGTATACCTTCATCACGTTGTAGTGTACCAAGCACGGGTACACCTTCATCACGTTGTGGTGTACCAAGCACGGGTGTACCTTCATCACGTTGTGGTGTACCAAGAACGGGTATACCTTCATCACGTTGTGGTGTACCAAGCACGGGTGTACCTTCATCACGTTGTGATGTACGGGAAACCTCACTTCATCTGCACACAATCCTGTGTATGTTTGTTGTTTAACAGAAACAATCAACAAGCATTATTTATGACGTAAGTATACACAGAACGCCAATGGTGGTAGCTCTGTTGCTCTGATATAGATATTCTCGTCGCTTCATTCGCCGGACACCTTTTCGATATTTTGATATTGGGGCGTTGAATCACACGCGGTCGAAAATGACAGGGTCCAGAATAACGAAGGTCCAGGTTCGAATAACATGTATCTTTCTGATACAAATGATTATTTTACGGATGGTTGTCATATTGGCCTTATGAAAGTGAGCACGACCCCTACGTGGGTAAAACAGTCAATATTTACTGTATTTATGGAATTATCACATAACGAAGGTCAAGGCTTATTCTGTATACTGTGATGTTATGGATGTCACCGTGGGTCAGACGGAAGTAGGTATGGTTCTGAGACACGATGTTTCGTTCATCACTGCGTCTCATGAGTCTGTGATGGATGCAGCTGCTGATCGCGGACTGGACAACACCACAGGTAGCTGCCAGGTGGCATTCTGTCCTAGATTAACCTGCTACCGTGTAACAATGGTTCCCAATAACTCCGCCTAGTTGTTAAGAGAAATGTTGTATCTATTTTCAGGGACTGAATTAGCAAAGGACATCCCCATTATTTCGGACGGTACAGTCACTCCATTTCTGAACTATCCCGGCTTGTCTGCATCGATGGTCATTCCACCAGACGTGGATTCTGTCAACCTGACGTGGAAGGCAGGCAATGAGAATGTAAGTGCAGTATTCCCTTAACATGACAAGCGCGCCACCGCCACAGCTTTGAATCATTTGGCCATACAGTACATTTCAAGTTGACCTTTTTACCCATTGTGGTGATGCGGCTGGTTTCGTTGTATTGTATATCCAGATAGATGGTGACAGTACGGGGTAGGGGTGTTTAAAGTATGACAACACCTTGGTTGTGTTAGTAGCGTCTGAGTTTGGTTCCTTGGAGCAGCGTGATAGCGATAGTTACACACGATAGCGCCACGGGCTCCTAAACCATTCTCAATCGTTGTACAATACACTGTCGTGAAGAAACAATCCCATAGCCACATTCACACAAACGTAGTCGGGCATGAAACAATCCTAAAGGCTGCATTCGGGTGTGAAACAATCCTACATACTGCATTCTGATGTGTAACAATCCTACATACTGCATTTAGGCATGAAACAATCCTAAATGCAGCTTTAAGCAATCCCAAGGCCCCACTCATGCGTGAAACAATCCTTAATGTAGGTTTCTGCATGCATTCACATGCAACAATGCACGCAGGAGTAAAACTATCTTAAAGCCGCATCCACACACACACACACACACACACACACACACACACACACACACACACACACACACACACACACACACACACACACACACACACACACACACACACACACACACACACACACACACACACACACACACACACACACACACACACACACACACACACACACACACACACACACACACACACCCCTACCTTACTCGATTGTGCATGCATGCACATTATCAGTTTGACTGAACATAGTGTAGACACACTTCTCTACCGGGTAATGCTGTCTTTGTTGAAGCTTATGAAATGTATACGAAGGTATAGCTTGTTTATCTGCACTGAACGCATCCATGACCGGGTTGTGTGAAGCTCTTAAGCTCAACTGCATGTGGTATGCCTTGGGCAAGTTCTGTGACGTGTTTTATTAAGAACTGTATTAGCGTTATATATTGAACGACACAGAGCCTGTGGTGGGACACGTTGTGTGACGGTTTGACAATTAACGACATCAAGCAAAATTATTGCTAATGTCGGCTCAGTGGAGTATTTTTCCATCAGTTTGTTAATGTCTTCGAATCTTGCACGTTGTATCAATACCAGGGTGTAGCTATAACTATTACCTGTTGGAGTTCAGTTCTTCAGTGTGGTGCATGCGATATTGTATGGAAGGTAGTACAACGCACATTCTAGTGCGGTACGGAATCAGATACATGAGCCACTTGATCACGCCCGACACATGACTGAGTGCGATGTGAACCTCCCTGCCCACAGTATATAGGGTTTTACAGATACCTGGAGTGGACTCAACTATCCAGGTCGTTTCAAAGACAAGCATGGTTATAGTGCTCAGGGGCACACTGTTTGAACATTGTGTCGTGTCAAAGGCGGCCGCGCCACTTAGCGCCGTCATATAAACACGACTCGTCTTATTAGTACACATTCCGCCATGAGCACGGCACGTCTTAGAGATACTATAATGCTAAGCAAAAAGCGCCGCGACTGCTGGCCAAGCACTTGACTCGAGTTTTTGTCAAGAGCTATTGTCGCTTACTGTGTGTGTCAAGGTGTGGAAACCGACGCTCACTTATACACGAGGAAAGGCACGCTCACCGGCAATACAAGCCACCTTCCACACCTTTAGGGGTGTAAGAGGACGGGTAAATAGCGTGGCCTGACTGTGTGACTTGGCCCACACTGACTGACTGGCTCATTAGGCGGGGCTGGACGGGTAAATATATGAAACATGGAGGAAAACTGTATGTATGTCTATATGGACATAACTAATATAACGATCTTAGAAAATACGAGAAATGATACATCCCGTGTGGAGCCAGATACACTAACACAGAAACCAAACACATGGATGGACAGTCAGACAGGTAAATAATACATGATAGATACTACAAATATTTCCAGATAATACCTTCACAAATAGATAATGCACGTGCAGAGTGATGACACTTGTACATATACTAATACATTCATAACAGTACATACATACACCAGCATATATGTATATGTACTAATACATTCATAACAGTACATACATACACCAGCATATATGTATATATACTAATACATTCATAACAGCACATACATAGACCAGCATATATGTATATATACTAATACATTCATAACAGTACATACATAGACCAGCATATATGTATATATACTAATACATTCATAACAGTACATACATACACCAGCATATATGTATATGTACTAATACATTCATAACAGTACATACATACACCAGCATATATGTATATATACTAATACATTCATAACAGTACATACATAGACCAGCATATATGTATATATACTAATACATTCATAACAGTACATACATACACCAGCATATATGTATATGTACTAATACATTCATAACAGCACATACATAGACCAGCATATATGTATATGTACTAATACATTCATAACAGTACATACATACACCAGCATATATGTATATATACTAATACATTCATAACAGTACATACATACACCAGCATATATGTATATGTACTAATACATTCATAACAGCACATACATAGACCAGCATATATGTATATATACTAATACATTCATAACAGTACATACATACACCAGCATATATGTATATATACTAATACATTCAATACATTCATAACAGTACATACATATAATACATTCAGCATATATATATATAGCACATACATAGACCAGCATATATGTATATATACTAATACATTCATAACAGTACATACATACACCAGCATATATATATATGTACTAATACATTCATACACCAGCATGTATATGTACATATAACAGCACATACATAGACCAGCATATATGTATATATACTAATACATTCATAACAGTACATACATAGACCAGCATATATGTATATATACTAATACATTCATAACAGTACATACATACACCAGCATATATGTATATATACTAATACATTCATAACAGTACATACATAGACCAGCATATATGTATATATAACTAATACATACATTCATATAACAGTACATACATACACCAGCATATATGTATATATACTAATACATTCATAACAGTACATACATAGACCAGCATATATGTATATATACTAATACATTCATAACAGTACATACATACACCAGCATATATGTATATATACTAATACATTCATAACAGTACATACATACACCAGCATATATGTATATATACTAATACATTCATAACAGTACATACATACACCAGCATATATGTATATATACTAATACATTCATAACAGTACATACATACACCAGCATATATGTATATGTACTAATACATTCATAACAGTACATACATACACCAGCATATATGTATATGTACTAATACATTCATAACAGTACATACATAGACCAGCATATATGTATATGTACTAATACATTCATAACAGTACATACATAGACCAGCATATATGTATATATACTAATACATTCATAACAGCACATACATACACCAGCATATATGTATATATACTAATACATTCATAACAGCACATACATAGACCAGCATATATGTATATGTACTAATACATTCATAACAGTACATACATACACCAGCATATATGTATATATACTAATACATTCATAACAGCACATACATAGACCAGCATATATGTATATATACTAATACATTCATAACAGTACATACATACACCAGCATATATGTATATGTACTAATACATTCATAACAGCACATACATAGACCAGCATATATGTATATATACTAATACATTCATAACAGCACATACATAGACCAGCATATATGTATATATAGAAACATGTACTAAGAAAAAGAGCTAATGCTTATACGTATAGTCAGGAAATGAAACTAGGGGTGGGGGTGGGGTGGGTGGGGTTGGGTTACGCCGCTTTTAGCAATATTTCAGCAACATCAGAGCGAGGACACCAGAAGTGATCTTCACGTCGAATTATTGTATGAAATACCTGTTCACACTTGTATAATTCTATTGTGGTGTGAAGTGGATCATTTCAGTTATCGGCTTTCCAAGGTGTAGGGTGTAATGGATGGTCCAACGGATATAACGTGAGGACTAGTGGAGAGACGCATCACTCAGGTTTGGTCCCAGTTCAGTGATCACGCTCATTATGCACACTCACGTCCGTCTAGCGCGATCTACACGACAAGACGCAACAGTGAAATGCGGACACAATCACGAAGACAATATCTAAAGGGTTCCTTTTGGAGATTCTGACATCTGTTCAGAAAGTCAGATGTAGATATCAAGAGGCTTTTTGTAGGGGATTTCCCTGTGTCAACAATGACCTTTAGTAGGATCTCCGCCAGGTGCACGCACCCATGTACACGTCACGTCTGCCGCCGCGAGAAGTACAGACGATACCTAACTCTGTGAATGTCGTCTGTTCAGCAGATACCTAACTGTGTGGTTGAATGTCGTCTGTCCAGTAGATATCTAACTGTGTAGTAGAATGTCGTCTGTCCAGTAGATACCTAACTGAGTGGTAGAATGTCGTCTGTCCAGTAGATACCTATCAGTGTGGTAGAATGTCGTCTGTCCAGTAGATACCTATCAGTGTGGTAGAATGTCGTCTGTCCAGTAGATACCTATCAGTGTGGTAGAATGTCGTCTGTCCAGTAGATACCTGTCAGTGTGGTAGAATGTCGTCTGTCCAGTAGATACCTATCAGTGTGGTAGAATGTCGTCTGTCCAGTAGATATCTAACTGTGTGGAAGAATGTCGTCTGTCCAGTAGATATCTAACTGAGTGGTAGAATGTCGTTTGTCCAGTAGATATCTAACTGTGTGGTAGAATGTCGTCTGTCCAGTAGATATCTAACTGTATGGTAGAATGTCGTCTGTCCAGTAGATACCTAACTGTGTGGTAGAATGTCGTCTGTCCAGTAGATACCTAACTGAGTGGTAGAATGTCGTCTGTCCAGTAGATAT